CAACTACATGCTACACATAGGTAGAATGATCATACAGTTCTAATCTTTGATTCCCGTATAGTTGACATAAACAAAATGTATCAACTAGCGTCTGGAAAACAAATCATAAGGTATTATACACCAGCATCAGCAGTAGATTGACCAATTGAGCCAGAATCACCAGTTGGAACGACTTGCGATGTATTTAGAAATTTGTACTTAAGTCACTGGACCGCACAGGATCCCTTGAACTACAGCAAGAGGTCCGAGAAGCTCCCACCCGGTTCAATGAATAGGTTGTACCAATATCCGTAAAAGGAGAAGAATGGAGGAGAGATTTAGTTGTAGTGGTGTTGGTTCCCAACACGCGATTCTCAAAGACATGAAGTTACTGAGAAGATTAAAATTCAACATGAACATTTGGAGGCGGTCGTAATAGTGAACGCAGAAAGATCCACTCAGGATGGTTTTCAGCCATTACAGGACGTGGTCACTCTACTTGAAACATATTGACGTTGTATAAAATACTACTTTTTATCCAGTTCAAATATTTCCGAAATATTAAACGTTATACGCTGTTTTACGAGAGAGAATGAAGGTGCGTGTAAGAAGATGGGAACATACGAACGGAAATAGCGTGTGATGGTGGAACAAAATTAATTGGAGGAACAGTTCACTTAACAAAGGTACAGTCAAAAACAGTATTTCCAGTTAACGAAATTAAGTCCATATTTTATGAAGAAAGTAAAAGAAGGTTACAACAGGATCGCCACTGGCTTCTATTCTGAGCCATATCTGATGATGTTTCTAGCCACTGTGTTGCACAATCTCTCGGACCCCAACCAGGGAGTCGTGAAGGACCAACACAAGCCAGCCCTTTGCAGCTTTTTTTCATACCACGACACCATGTCATACACTGACCAGTCCCAGTGTCGGCGAATAATGCACGGCGTGGAATTCTCTGGGACGACATTCGGAGAACATGTCCAAGCCATCGAAGTCGGTGTTTCAAGATGGTGACACCAATTGAATTATCATCTCTGTGACCGAACACACAATGCCGAACCTCTGCATTACTGACATGGTGTTGCCACTGAATGTCAGCAATCCTTCGGAGACAGCGATGATCGAACACAGAGAGTCGTCTAACATCCTCAACTCGGAGAGGCCAGGTTTCACAAGCATAGAGCAAAACTGCTCTCACCGACGCGTTGTAGATCCGAACTTTTACAGCCAGACTAACATCACGAAGGCGCCAAAGGTGGCCCAGATTGTCATAAGCCACTCTGGCTTTCACTATTCTAGCATTGATCTCATCACTCACACCCCCACTAGCACTTATGCAGCTACCTAGATATACGAACTTCTCGACTACTTCTATCTGTTCGCCATTCAGGGTGAGTACGGGATTAGAATCTTGCCAGTCTTGTAGAAGTACTTTGCATTTCGAAGGTGCAAAGCACATACCATACCTACGGACACTGATTGCCAACTGATTGAGTGTGGATTGCATGGCTTGGACATCATCGCACAGTAAGACAATATCATCCGCATACTCAAGGTCGAGAAGTCTTTCTCCAGGCAACAGATCCACACTACCATTACTTACATTCATCAGAGCTGCTTCTAGAATGTCATCGATGGCAAAGTTGAAGAGGAATGGTGAGATTGGGCAACCCTGTCTAACCTTACTGTTTGAATGGAGCAACGGAGAGAGGTGGTAGTATGCCCGCACAACATCTGAGGTGTTTGTATATAGGGCCTTTAGAATGTTAATATAATTCCCAGGGACACCTTTCGTAAATAGACGATTAGAAATAATAGTCCTGTTCAACGGATCGAAGGCAGCTCTGATGTCAAGAAACACTAAGATTGTTGGTCCGTGTTAAGTATGAAAGTGTTCCAAAGTTTTGCGGAGGGTGAAGATGTGATCAATACATCCTCGACCAGGACGAAAACCAGCCTGCTCGTCAGGAGTTGATCTTGCTCGGGCTCTGAACAACCTACGAAGTATGACAGAAGTCAATAGTTTGGACGCAGTCGGAAGTAGTCTTGTCCCTTGATAGTTGTTAAGGGAACGACATAAACCCTATTTAAAGATAGGGACGATTATTGACTCATTCCACGATGTTTGAACAATCTCTAACTCCTAAACCTTTGTACACAACACAGTCAGATCCCTAACCAGAAAGTCATCACAATCTTTATAAAGGGTTGGTGGAAAGTCATCTGGGCTCGATGATTTGTAGCGTTTCAAGAGTTGGAGTTCCTTGCTGACCCCCGCTTTATTTGGTGGATCAGTCGTCACAGGCCATGTAGGGCAGGGAAGCCTGATGAATGTTGGCGGGGCAGTGAACCAGTTGAACTGAACCTCGTACTTTGGCAAATTCCAAGTGCTCCATATGGAGACTAGTACTCATTGAAGTACCACAAGGTTCTGTCCTTGGTCCTTTACATTTGACACTGTATAATGTATACGGCATATATTAACTCTCATGTATGGTTGAGTCCTCAATGTTACTATATGCCGATGATGTAAAAACCTGGCGAGGAATAACAAGGGATGCGGATGCATGCGCACCTCAGGCAGACTTAGATATTCTGATAAGCTGGTCTAAAAAGTGGCTGATGTTCACCATCGTGGTCAAATGTGTACACATTCACCTCTTCGCTCTGTCCTACAGTAGATTAAGAGGTGACCTGAATTTGATGTTTAGAATACTAAGAAATGATTTTAGAGATAATATTTCCTCTCTTTTTCTTAACACTAGATCAGAACATCGCAGAGGACAAAGCGGGAGAGTATAAAAACCAAGAACGAACTAAACACCCGTGTCATACAAGTTTTCACATTGAGTCATCAATTGTTGGAACCTGTTACCCGAAGCACTGGTGTCCTCGCATTCAATCGACTCATCCAAGAGAAGATCAGACACTCACAGAAGCATAATAGGAGAATAACATAGGCCGCAGACCTTCTGTCCTTACTATACAAATCTGAGTAGTATGATATTAGATTTGACATTGAAACCGAAAAAAACAAAGGCGGGTAGTGTTAGTTGTGCGATAACATATGTCACCAAAATGTGAGTTGACATCATCCAACCGTTTGTTATATGATATATTCACATCAACCGATAGCGAGTAGTTGCTTTTCGAAATTTAAGAAACATGGTAATTATCCAACAAAATTCGTTCTTCTTCGCAAAATACAAAGCTGTAACCGAAATAAAAAATAATGTAAATAGATACTTGCATAGTAGTAAATTATCTAACGCAAGACAAGCGTTTCAGTGTACACTGATGATACGTTTTAGACTTATATATATATATATATATTCAACTGAGATGTATGTTTCGGCCGAAACATTATTGTCCGGACAATAATCATTGGAATTATTTTATTTTCAATTGTCACTACCTACAAAAGTTACGGGGACCATTTTTGCAGCGTTAAACAAAAAGGGAGAGCCAGATTTTATCTCATACATATACCGGCTAATTATAATTAGTGTATAGGTTATAATTATCCCAACAGATATTACAATGCTTCTTTATTACTTTAATTGTTGTGAGAGCTTCCCACTGGGCTCATTTTGTACGAAAGCTCAGTCAAACTTTGTTTGTTCGTCGAATATTTACATATGTAGAGGCTTTGAGTATAAATGAGTAAAAAGGTCCGAAGTCAAACAGTCCTTCGAAGCTTTAAATCTCGAACTACCCGATTTCTGTGGAATTTAAAAGCATACCTTTCAGGTCCCGCACCACTCACTAAGGCTAGCAGTTTGAAACCGGTGAGATGATCATAAAGCTTGTTTGTCATTGGGTTGTTCATACATTTGACTTAGTACAACTTTAATGTATTGCCTCATTCCAGTTTTATAAGTTCCTCACAAAAATTTGTATATTTAGTCAAGCAATATGATAGAACCTGGTTGCACACACGTTTGCTGAAGAAAACATTGGTGCTAGCTGACTTTATACTATGTAGTCGTATTGTTGTTTAGTGCTAATAGATTTGGGTCTTAACGTGGTGAATATGTTATTTTCGCTTTTGTCAGAAAAACTTTTTGACAGGTTTCAGGAATGACGCCGTCATAATTTCGCACTATTCAGGCTCTTGCATAATAAAAGGAGTGTATTATTTTCCATGGTAAACGTATTTTTTAGGTCCCCACTGGTAATGTGGGAATTACGTTTGGATGGTTTTTGATGACGTAGTCGGTTGTCTTACAATCGGCGTTTGTAAAAATACATTTGAATCTAATTTCAAAAGGAAAATGCCTCATTAAACCATTGAGTCTGCGCGCACCAACTTCTCAACTTCCTATTTCATCATATTAGGATTCAAAAACCAATGTTGGTCTATAAAATTTTGTTACATATTTAGTAATTGTTAGTAAATTTTAATATTTATATTTCGGATTTGTACACTGAGTACAAAGAGATGATGGGCTATAACAGTCATTTTCTAGTAAGTCTTTGCAAGTGTCTAATCTGTTTATGAACGGGTCGATAGAGAATGCGCAAACCATGTCTTCTGTTAGTAGGTCTCAATAGTTGGTCACGTTATGGGAAGGCCTGTATACGACGTGTATCTCGTTCGTTCTTGGATTTTGCACTCGTTTGTCGCATCCTCTGAGTTGTCATAGCCTAGTTGAGAAAAAAACGGAGGACATCCAGAGGTACATATATACTTAGATCATGAAATTAATCTAATTTGCAATGATATCCTGAATTAAGTATGGTGAACTGATGAAAACTACTATGCGATCTTAGTTGACCTTTGCAAGTTTAATTGTAATGTAACTGATGATATTGCATGTATCTGTGTCTGTCTTCACTTTCCTACATTGCTCTTTATCTGTTTATATATATGAACTTATATTCGTGTGAGGTTTCATGTGTCTTACATTATGTTCGTCGGTAATCTATGCTTTAATTGGTTGGCCATAGTTGATGCATTGATTTGCCCGCTGAGTAAGCGGTTACTGAAACTACAATTCGCATCTATTTATCTTCGTCCACCTTTCAAACTAGATGTATGAAATACAAATTTTTGAAATACTTCCCTTATCTGCTCCCACACGAAAGCGGGCCATGGTCTCAGTGTCACTACTTTAGATCACTGTGAGACGGTTAAAAGCACTGTAGCTTTGTTCTCAAAATATATACGACCTTCATACCATCTCACAATTAATCTCGAAAATGATCTAAATCGACATTTCAACTTCGTAAACGCAAACCTTTATAGTAGGTCTAGGAAGTCAAGAATGTGTCGGATTTTATCTTTTCATCAGAATAGGTATATCATTTGCTTGCCAGAAAAACACCTTTATGAGCAGTCAACTATCTTATGTAACCTGAACGATTGTTTGTAAACCGGTTTGATTAGGTGCTTTTTAATATCAACACATTTACGTTGATCGAAACGAAGAGATGTTTCATTAGCTTGACAAAGTCTATGAATTTTGTTAAAGTGGGATTGTCAGTGTTTGTTTCTTACACAGTGACATTTCTTGATACAAGATGAAAAGAACAGACCATATTTTGTGGATGCCACTCTTGATATGTCAAATGCCATAAACTTGATTTGTTGGACGAATGAACTTTCATTTTTGGTAGCCTATACGATGATGCACGGAAGTAGCTCATTATTGTGGGAGCTGACTATTTTTACTGCATCATGTGATTGTTGACTAGCCCAAGTGACGACATAGACTAATATACATTTGTTTCAGGCTCCGCTTTATTTAGGGCTGAGTGATATTTACTGAATCTTTTGTTGCGGATTCTCCATTTATAAGTACTGGATGAAACTTAAAATCCAGTGAGCCCCATCGATTTGGAGTGTTTTTGGCTAGACTTAAAATTACAAATCCTCTTCTTATTAATCTTTTTGATGCCTTTTATTTGTCAATAAAGGCTACATAAAAATAATCAGTTAAGGAAATGACTGAAGGTCTAGCGAAAGAAATTGTCAGTAAGATAAGATGTATGTGAAGACAATTAAGTCTGAACGCACTTTTTCAAGAGTTTGGGTAATTAAAAAACGAAATGATTTACCACATTTATGAGGTTTACAATGATCGTTATACTTAAAATCATCATTGGATTTCTTTAGTTTAAGTAAAACACAGCATACTGTAGAACATATCTTATGTGTTCATAGCTAGATGGCTTTAACAGTTTATTATTTTTAACAACTGAGGGTCAGGTTCTCAATATATCTTTCTGTACAACAGAAAAAGCTTTGGACATTTTAAATGGTGGGCTACGTGGTCTCGTTTGAATTGTTCGTTTGAGGTATCATATAATGTGATGCAGAATATATGCCAAATGGCGAGAGCCAAAATAAAGCTCATCTTATTGTGTCATCATCGTATCCCAGTTTGGGCTGATACAAATTAATTTCAGGCTCTACGTTAATTATTGTGTGACTATCAGCACTAAAAAATGAAACTCCATATGAATATCCTTTCTGAAATTTTCAATCTTTTATTGTCTGCCAATATATCTATAACTGTTTTAGCTTGACTACGATAAATATCTACTGCACTGTAGTTTTGGATTTATAAACACAACCCTATAAATCGATAATGCAGATAACATGAAAAGGTGGTCGTAACTCAGTTGTGATAGGTAGATGGATTAGAAAGCAGAACTTCATATAATGACCTTTATATTTCATTTAGGCCGGATATCTAACCTCAAAAATATTAAACTTAATAGTAAAATATAGTTTAAAGGACATGAGAAATGTGTACATCCTTAATTTGTGTTAAAGCCAAATTTAAAACACTGAATCCTCCTACTACAATGAGAAATCATAATTTAGATGCCTAGAGATACAAAGATTACTACTTATGTAGACTTCCAAAGGTGCCTTAATTTTCAAAGAATGTTTATCAGTTTAGATTCTTTATCTGAATTCATAGGCACTTTATAATAGTGTTGGTTTCAAAATGTTACTTACAATGTAACAAAAATCTTTATTGTAAACAAATAAATGCGGCTAATAATACCTTTAATATTCTCATATACTTACTTTGAGTCTCTTGCTCACCCGCAAGTGCCATATACTCAAAAAATTTAAAGGCTGCTCAGAAATTCTCTTTTGACACATGTTTGGACCAAAACAACTATTTAATGGAAGCTACAAATGTTAACTGCTGTCTTCAAGGAAGAAGCTCTTGTTAGACTTCATTTGTAGCTGAAGAACGCTGACTAATAAAATTCCACACGCACTTTGAATGCTGATATTACAGCTAAGAGTAGTCATTTTTGCCCACAGAAAATGTAGTTATTAAATCCTGGAATCGTTATTCCTACCTTTGATTGCGAATGTATGTTAGTCAGTTATAGTGACGTCTTTATGAGACAGAAGACTCGGTGTGCGAAAATTAGTTGAGATTTATAGAAATCAATCGTAATGTGATACAACAGAATCCAGCAAAATATGAGACTTTAAATACAAGTTTATTAAAATATGTCAGAGCGCTGGTTGTAAAACATTAGGAGTGCAAATTTATCGTAAGACTCATTTGAGAATTCTACTATATTTCACTATAAATATGCCGTAAATTGACTGCTGGTAGAAGTTTTGTAAGACTGTAGATCACATTGGGTTTCGTGTCATTAGACATATACGTTAAGTTATTATTAATGACTGTTAATCAGAGTTTTAATGCAGTCAAATTTTTGTTTCATAACTTTAGCCCTTTGTATCTCATTGCCAGTTAATTTATTTTTAGCTGTTCTTTGTCATGACAGTAAACGGTATTCCTAAGGAATATAAATGAATAAAACCTAGCTTTGTAAGGCATCTACCTTCAAAGTGATCGAATATCCCTCAAACATACTTTGGTCATATAGGATTGGGGATTTAAAACCAACTTAAGGCTATGGTTTTCAAAAGCAGATTATATGGTAAAAATACTGGTTTGCATGTTTGTGGGTTTGTTAGATACATTTCACTGCACACCAACACACTTAAGTTCACTGCAATTTTAAGCTATATAGGTCAATGTCCCATAGAAACTAATGTAATTTGGTAGCCGGTGTTTTCTTGAACGACCCCATAACCCACGTATTTGATATTTTAAAGATATATTATGAAGCGGCAGGGTGCTTTGCTAGCTTTTTTATACCATAAAATTAAGTTTCCAATACTGAATAAACAAAGTAAATGACCTCATAATGTTTCGTATTCACTAGAAAATGTATCCACTGCTTAATGCTGAGTGAATGCCTATAGTTGCAGCTTCGTATCATTTATTGATCAGAAAGATTGTATTCTGCAGGCAAGTAGGGGTCAGCAGGTGAATCTTAATTACATCCAGTTCGTCTAACAAACAAATAAATTAGTTCATTTTTGTATTGGTTTTTTGAAACTTACCCTTGACACTTAGGACTGCAATCGATCAGTCTTTTATTGACATATGTGTACCCTGAGAGAATTGCCTCGATATTACCTTAAGTCACAAGCATTGTATGTAGAGATGGATGGTGGCTAGAAGTGGGATACTTGTGACCTGAGGCAATATCAAGGCAATTCTCTCAGGATACACATAGGTCAATAAAAGACTGATCAATCGCAGTCCTAAACATCAATGAAATGATTAAAACAACTAATACAAAGTGAATTAAATTTCGATCTATTAAACAAGCTTGTGGCTATCTGGGTTCAGTAGTTAAATGGATAACTCGATGGCAGATGAAGTAATCGGTACTGGATTGGAGTCTCGAGGTGAACATCGGCTCTGGAATGCGTGGACATTCAGAGTACCAGACAGGACGGGATAAGTTAGTCCTTCAACTATTATTCACTCTGTTTTATCATTAGATTCTTCAACTTATAATTGTTAAAATCATAAGGATATATATATGAAGGGGTACCTAAGATAGAGGAAATCACTGTCTCTCTGTCACAACTTATAACTACAGTCACTGGAGTTCTGAATGCAGCTGATGATTGTCATACAGAGTTATTTTCCTTTCCTAACATCCTTGTATGTAATGTTATTCCATCAATACCTTTGAATTGATGTCATTGTTTTTGTCTGTTAACTTCAAATGGGAAACTTATTACTGGAAAATGTGAGTTGTTAAGACTCAACATAGTAATTAATATCCGTTCGAATTTCAACTAGTGAGTTATAGCCTCAAATGCCACTTCATCTACCCCTGTCTAAACAACCAGTTAACATCACCAACATTTGCACATAAACATTTGACCGAAAGCCGAGTACATATACTTGTGTATGGTAAAATAGTGACATACAATCATATCATCTAGTTCATTTGTTTTGGGTTTTAACGGATTTATTAAACTATTACAGAAGTTTTTTGAAACATCTTGAAATCTCATATTATTGTGGTGTTACTCCTAGAATAGCCTAAAGATACGAAATATCTAAGAATATATAAATCGTTTCTATGGAGTAATATTTTATCATGTACAGGATCATGACTTTGAAATCTAAATACAAATTTCGCTCAATGGCAGCGATCATTAACCTAATTATTTTTTTTTATATTTTGGAACATCATTTTGACGGCATTTAGTGATATTAACATTATAGAAGATGACCTCCACTAAACTTGATATTTTGTCCTTAAACATAATTTAAATTTTTTCTCACAAGGTCCATTAATTTACTGTTTAAATATAAGCCAGTTGTATCTTGATAGGCTTCATGTAAATTTTATTCATTTTAATTCTCTGTACGAAATTTGTAAACTTTTTCTAGTCAAGCTAAATTCTAGTCATTATTTCACCTCATATGACGTTCTTCATCTTTGATAGTGGGATATTTACTTTGTCACACAATTAATATAAGAAAGTTGTACATCTAGTTGGAGAGTCCAAAATAAGACGAAACGCACGCCTATGTATATGGACAAAAAGGGGACTAATTTTTCTCATACTAACATTTTAACTTTTACATATATTGGCAAGCTTCTGGAACATAATCATTGGAGTTAAGTAAGTATTCTTTAATTTTTTAATCGTGAGTCAGGATAATGTTTGGCAAACTAATAAGTTTCAGATAAGTGACAAAATAGATGTACGTTGTCGAGTCTCGAATGGCAGCCATGATTAGAAGTACGATTGGGTTATGGAGGGGCGCGAGCGATTTTTTTAGTAGAAACCGACTCGATGATCAACGTATGAATACCATGTGTCAGCTTGAGTGGTTGAAGGTAGTTGGTAAGAAAGTATTTCGTGCCGTTTGACACTCATCACAAAAGAATACTTGTTATCTTCAGATAACTGGTTCTCTGCGAATTTTAGAGTCCATGTCAATCATTTTCTCAGTCTATTCACTACTTAGTTATCAATCACTTGTAAATATCTCAGTTATACAGAGGAATAGTTGCAACCCGTACAGCCGAATGGTAAAGTTTCAGGCTGTAAAGCTGGTTGCCAGGGCTCACCAGCTCCCTTAAGATTACTAGTGCTTCTTGATCACTAACACTAAAAAGCACAAAACCTGGGTGAAAGGCTTCCTGTTGACTATCTTCAACCATCAATTTACATCTGAATATAGTGTGCGCGATATTGAGTCACCTAGATGAGTGGCTATATTGCAACTTGATCGATAGGATTTGATTAACACTAAAAGAACTGAACAAACATAACACTGATCTTTACTCATTGATCAATATTCCTACCAAACTATTGAGCTATTGTGTGAATCTTGATGATGAGGAAAGTTTATAAACAAATGCTATACCTTATAGCATATCAGACAGCGTGATCAAACTTTTTCCTTCATTCAGGAAAACTTTCTATCACATGAAAATTCAATTGTCATAATAATTAACTTAATTGATTATGTTTCTAAAGTACAGTCAATTTTAAATGAAAAAAACTGAGATTCAAGTTATAAAAGTATAATACGGATTTGATCGATCCAATCAAAAAGTAAATTACCAAGATATTCAATGAAACTTTATTCTAACTACTTGTAACTTGATTTCTGTCAAACTGTTCATGAACGGAAAAAAAAAAGATTTGAAAAATGTTCTCATAAAATGGATATTGCTGTTATTCATAAAAGATCAGATTTACTAGGTCAAATTAAAATAAATTCATTGATAGATCTTATTACAATCGGTATACAATGATACTACTTCTTTTTTTCCCCTAACAAACAGTAAACTATGTAAATATAGTGTCGACTAATTATAAACTCATTAAATGTCTATCACATAACTGGATTCATACAATTTTTAGAATGGATTAGTTCCGGTTCATGGTTAATTTTATTTTGTATGGCAACATCTTTAAAGTTCGTCTGTTAAACATACAATCAGAATACAGTTTTTATCCAAGATTAGCTTTTTAATCAAGATAAATGGGTTTAATTTAAAGGATATGTACATATTTTTTTCCAACTCGGTAAGATTATTGTTAAGAGGGGAACTATATATATTCCCGCAGTTTCTTCTTTCTATTGTCCAGTATTTTGTGTATTAGTTGGAGAAATTTTTTTTGTATGCTTGAATCATTTCTTCAAGTTGTTTGTGACGAATAAATGTTTGACACTTCATATTAATGTCTATAATCCTTTGTTTTACATATTTCTCGGTCAAATCGTCTTATTGGATGATCACTTTACTATATTAGCTAATTGATTGAAATTAAATATGTGAACCACAAGATTCAAATTCACTAGTATAAAGAAATATCTTTGGAACACCTTAGAACCTTATATTTGTTGTACACAAACTTTTTTCTCACCTTATTACAAAAATTATTTCGGTTTATTTCACAACTTCCTAGACGTTAATAAACCTTAATCATACATTTACATTACATCTCCAAACGAAATCTCACTGGAGACCAGTCTTGAATGATTTAGTTTGAATCCTAATATTAGAAAACTAGTTTAAACAAACTGTTCACTTGAACTCTAATAGGTAGTAAAACATTGTTTTAGTAATATTTTATTGAAAATAATACTTTTGTCATGTACTAACTGATAACAAATTAAAACTATTTACATATTTGGAGTTTCCATAACTATACTCAATGTATTATAAACAAAGATGGATGGTGGCTAGCAGTGGAATCCATGGACGCGCATTTTGTCTTATTTTCGACTAGCCGACTAGATGTACCTGCATCTCAGGGTTGATGTTCACTCTAGAACTCGAACCCAGTACTGTTTGCTTCAAACACCATCGCATTATCCACTTAGCTTTGAAATCAACTCTGAAATGCAGGTACATCCAGCTGACGAGTCCCAAATAGGACGGAACGCGCGTCCTAGATTCCATTACTAGCCACTACCCATCTTTGCTTATAATGCTTGTGACTAAAGGTGATATCGAGATTATCAATACAGGATGCACATATGTCAATAAGAGACTGGTCAACTGTAGTACTGAACATCAATAGAAAGTAAAACAATACCAATGTATCCTACACATTTCAGCATAAATGAATTGATATCAATAAAAAGAAAGATGAGTAGATACAAATTTAACTGCTAAATTTAGGCAACTAGTATGAAAAAAGTGCATTGTTTTCATAGATTTTTTTACATTGATAACTGGTCATATTAGACTAAACTTTGATTGAATAGAACTCATCTATGGTAAATCAATTGGTTTATCGTATAAAATCAATTATTATGTCACGATTATGCAAATTGATTCAATAGTTTCTAACTATAAATTTTAAACAACACAACTGTTAGAGAATAATGCGAATTTATAATATTACATATTTCATGTACACTGCTGAGGAGTCCCAGAGTAGGACGAAACGGCCGTTCAGTGCTTCCAGGTTTTCCACGGTGGTCTAGCTTTAATTGACTCATGATCTAAACTATTAGGATTACTACAATATCCACGGAACCCCTTTTGATGCATCTTGGATCGTCCGGTTGAGTGCTAAAATAACTGAAGTTATAAATAAATGCATGAAATTTTGACATGTAACAGTTGAATAGTGACTTCATTAACATTTGATGATTTTCTCTGCAGGCTGATATTGATATAAGAATCGAGGAACGTTAAACATTTATTTTTCTATTCTAATCACGCCATATAGCCAACGGGATTATGATTCCCAATTTAATGATTCATTGTTATCATAACTGTCGTGAGATCTGAACTAGTTAAGTTCATAATGATATAAGACCATGGGTATAGCAATGTTCACGAGTTGAAAAACAGAACTAGACCTCTGTCCAAAGCTTCCTATTTATAAGTGCTCCTGTAAATGAGATTATTTTATGATGAAAATAATCCCTTAGCTCCTAACGACTTCAATGTTCTATAGTCAATCAAATCAATTAAAGAATTTTATTGAGATCGTGCAATGATTTTATTTAGACGACCATTGAGAACTTGGAGTCGCCGCATGACCTCTTCGTCCTAATATGGGACTTCTCAGTAGTTCACATCCATGATATTATGACGGTGGATCAAACTCAGGACCTCCGATCTCGAGTACAAACGCCTAATTTCTGAATAACTGAGCCGAAATTCGATGATATAAAGACATAACATCAAGCTTCTATTACCTTAGGTGAGCACCTTCCTCAAATCCAACACAGATGAACCGTACTGCTTACTGGTCTACATCATTCTAAGCTGAAAACAGTATTATTTGACGAACCTTAGATTTTAACACCTCAGAAAGTTTTTTTAAATTTAAGTTAACAAAAATAATTTTAGAAGAAATTACTGTGGTACATATACGACATTAATCATTATGAAGTTATTTATATATTATTATACATTTACAGTGTGAGAATAATATTCATACTAGTTACATACACTACACCACAACATCCTGGTACTTCTAACACTACTAACACTTGCGTTAATTTAATTCTATATATTCTATGCACAAACAAGCACATACATATAAGTATATACTTACATACATCCCGCATATATATATTAACACAGTACATTGTGAGACAAGTTGAGGCAGATCGTGCCACTTTACTAATATTAAATATTAATAATGGTAATAATAGTAGTATATACACGCCTAATATTCATTGATCCGGATGCATACACAGCTAATAAACGTGTCAGATGACATTAGTTATTTAAAGTTGATGTCAATGTATATGTATATGAAGAGATGGTAACACTTGAATTAGTCAGTATACTACTCATGTATATTAAACAAGATCATTCTTAAAATCAACTAGTATGTGATCGATATTAATTTTTAAGAATTGCGATCGCATATTGATCGGTTGCGGGTGATAGTTATGGTTGATAGGAATAAACAAATATTTATGTGTTGTATTCATTTCACTTGGAGTACAAGTGAAAATTAGGGAGCATTAGACAGTTGTTTCGTCTTAATGAGTGACACTTCAGCTACAAACGTTATGAAGTGCTTTTAATGATCAGTCGTAAACCGCAAGACATGAAGGATCTGGATGCGATCTCTGGTAGGGTTTTGAAAGAGCACTATTAAGGAGTTTCTTAATAAGACTAAACAGGTGTCCGATTCGTCCTGGTTTTCAATGATACTTTAAATGAAGTTAACTTGGGTGGAATACAACTTACGGTTTAAACAGTTCCCTATAAGACTATTTCCTGATATCTACAAACAAATATTTTGAATAAATATGAGCTAATTTATTAGAAATGTTCTCATTGTTCAATATATATGGCATTTTTGGTCACTTCCTAGTTCATTTAACATATAATTGCTGCTTATTGAAGCGTTGTTTTCAATAACGACTTCATTTCAAAAGTCTGAAGTTACTGTCAACCGTATCTAATGAACGTGTTGATGTAATGTAGCTCAATATGCCGGATGAAAAAAAAATACAATCAATAAATTCATACGAAATACATAAAGTGACTAGCTCGTATTTTGTTTGTTTTATCGGCCAAGCTATACGTTGGAATCATAAAATAAACCAGAGTCAGAATACAATTAATTAAGTGATTACTTCAAAGTTTTTGACTCAGTTCAAAATTTGCTGCAAGTTGATTGCCTAAACTAAAACACACTTTAAATCTCTGTTTTTGAAGACTTTAGGTTATACAATTTAAAATAATTTTGGATTAGTGTAGTTACATTCGTTCATCATCATCGGGTGAATATATATCACGTCTATTTTTTCCGTAGCTACGTAAACATAAAGTGTCGTATCTTTTTCTTTTGATTTAGTCAGTATATTAAGCCTTTTAATTAAAAAGATGTTGAATATTTTTTTCATTTCACGACCAAGCGCATATATTTATACTTTACATTCTAAATGTCCGATTGAACTATAGGACGCATACAAAGGTATCTTGTAAGCTGAAAAAGATGAATAGGGTGGTTTGTAGATATGTAATATGTATTTTAATTTGGTTTGCTATAGTGTTTACATTTTTATTCATTTTGCACTGACTCCTTACTCAGTACATAAGAGTTAACTATTATTAATAAAGAAGGATAAGAAACAGGCTTTTGTAGAAGACTCACTGCTTCTTTAGTTTCATTCCAAATTATTGGGTTTCGATGATTAGGTTTGTTACTTAAGGCAAGTCCTTTGTCGTCTGACATATCTGTTACGAGCTACACTGAAAATGCATGTCGCGGCATACATACATACAGCATATATATATATATATATATATATATATATAGTTGCTAAGAAGTTGTGAATTTTAAAAAAATAGGCGTGATATATATCCGAACATCGTCACGAAAGACTAAACAAGTTTGCGATGTTTTCCGTATTTTAATTTTTTTTATATTTTCTACATTTAAATGTTGAGAAAACGAACTGAGATGAAACCAGTCAATCAGTAACCGGTTTTTGATCTCAACAAAATTAAAAAATCTTCGGAACACCAAACCGACGGTTGTCATGTGCTCACTCGTGTCTAGCTACGATCGGAGATTTCTTCAGTTTTAGTGAAAAGCCATGATCAGTGCAGTTTAATCGTGTTGATCATGAGGAAGTTACCCACCGGGGACAGTTAAAAATTATCGAGCGAAACAACACAATGGTTTTACTTAGACATGTACCCCATTGGGTGTCGACTTGATAGTCCAGAAGTTAAGCGCTCGCTCTCAAGACCGAAAATCCTGCGTTCGGTCCGTGGTTGTAGGATCATAAATGAGCACTGTTGAGGAGTCTCAAATTAGGACCTAGAATGGTGTTGAAAGAATTCTAAAATCTTCACAAACACATACTAATAATAACCAATACTTACATGATTTCACATGTTATAACTTGACGAAGTATACTAGACGTTGTCATTTCTTGTTTCCCAATTTTAATTTTTTCCATGTGAAGAAACTGTTTTTTTTTTTCTGCTTTCTTCAAGTATACTTATACCAAAATGAAATCAGAATACCTTAATCTGAATATCTTATGATAGAGCTATAAATTTTTTTTTATTTCTTCAGTTGTATTTACATCTAATTTGTTTTCTTCCAATTTTATTACATAGAGTTGTTTTGTTCTTGATCTAATCGACTAGATTATGTTGGGCTGAACAATAAGATAATGTAATTGATGTGATTGATTTAAATTAGCATTTTAGAATAGATTGCAAGTGAACTTTTAGTGTAGTATAATCTCTGATCTAGTTAGTCTGTTTTATTTTTCGTTCGTATACTGTAATGCCTAGATGTTGATAAGTTTCTATCTACTTGATAGGCTTCTAACTGTTGGAACAGTGTTTATATTAGATTTAGTAAAATAAGAAGATGTACATAAACGCATTGGATACTGACTTGGTAGAAGAATACACTTACATTTAGTAAAAAAAGTGAATCGGGCACAGTTAACAGGACACAAACATGAATTCAAAAAACGATTTGATATTGAGAAGTGTAAAGAAAAAAATTAGAGATTTCAAATATTGAACAAGTTCACTTGATGAAAGTACTTTGTGGGAGTAGTTTTATGTTTGTGAAAATTTATTTGAGATAAATCTGGGTGAAGGTAGTGGGTCAGCTATATGAATAGAGATGAGTACTATATATATTACATTTTAATCTCTGATTAGTACACTAATAATTTTCAGAATTAGTATTTAGTTTCAGAAGGGGTTTTGTGGAGATTTTAGTAATTCCAATATTTAACATCATGAGTCAATTGAAGTTAGATAACCATTGAAAATCTGGAGACAGTGGATGGCCGTTTCGTTCTATTGTGGGACTCCTAAGAAGTGCTCGCCCACGATCCCGCTCCCTGCGAGATTCAAACCTAGGATCTATCAGTCTCGCACGCGAGCGCTTAACCACTAGATTAGTTGAAGTTAAATATTAACACAATCGGATGCCGGGTCAGTGGTTAAGCGCTCGCGAACAGGACTGATAGGTCCTGGGCTCGAATCTCCCGTAGCGAGATAGTGGATGCACACTGGTGAGAAGTTCCACAATAGGACGAAACAGCCATCCACTGTTTCCAGGTTTTCGATGGTGGTTTAGCTTCAACTGACTCATGATCTCAACTATTGAAATAATATTTAGTTGTTATCGTCATTTTTATTTTTCTTCGTTATATCTGTCAAATGGACAATTATATTTATATTTTTGATTAGAAAATTATTTTCTCTAACTCGCTTTAAATTATTACGTTACATTTTTGTGTTACTATAAATTTCCGAACACTTATGATATGATCTCTTTCTATTCTCCTATAAACTCTCTCACAACAAAATACAATTACACAGGTTTAATAAATGATAATTTCAAACCGAAAGTTTTCATTATTAAACTATGTTGACGCCCAAATCATTTCAATTCTTTTTATACTTTAATTAATCCCTTGGAAACACACATTCGATGGTTTATTTAATTGAAATAATCCAGTCAGAAACTATATTTATTAACCTTTAAAACATTTCATATTATCTCAGAGTATTTCACTTGTGATTTGTGTTTATATATGTGTACAAACGAGATAACAATGGAAGTTTTAGTTACTATTATTATTATTATTATTATTCATATCTAATTACATAATACTAATGTAATCCCATAAACATGAGATAATCCCATTGTTTTTGGTGTATACAAAATCTTCAGTAAGGAATGATTAGTTTAATCCTAACCTAGGTGTATACATTATTTTGTTTAAGTATAATCTATCTATGAACATGTATTGTTTTACATATATATTTATTTGACGAGTTCTATTTCTTGTATAACTCAAACAAGTTTATTATTTTGTTTTTTCTTTCATTTATTTAGGTATATAAATAACTAATTACTGATTTAATAAATGAGTATAAATACTATGTATATTCTTTCTTGGTTTGGCATTGTAAAGAATAACAATATAATTAATTGTTTAACAGTATTCATCAGTAAACAATATTTGTATTCTCAGTAGTAAAATCATTTTTTGAAAAAAAAATCTACTCAAATCTATATATATATATCCATACAATAATCATGGAACTGGAAATAAGAAAACCAGTTAAAAAGTGAGTACTTTTGTTGAATTGATAAAAAATGTATGTGTATATTATAGTTGATTATATGATAATTGTTCATTTCTATGATTTTGTTTAGCATAATTTATTCACTGATGATGATTTAGTGAAACTTCATCAGTTGAGATGGCTGGGATATGTGTTACGCATGCCTAACCATCGACTGCTCAGATGTGTGGTGTTTTATGATGTAGGAGCAGGTAGGAAGAAAGCTAGGGATGGCTAGACCGAAACATGGCACAATTTCATGCAGTCACTGACAAGTGAACTGAGTCATGTTGGTAGGTGTAGATTATCTGGCTAGGATCCGTGAGACAATAGAAACCGATGGTTAGAGACTTTGAGTGATATGGCTTAAAATCGTTTGCAATGGTGCAGGTGCATCCACTATTTGTGTTTTCCCAAATTCTAATCTTCTGAATTCTTCATGTCCCCTTCTTTTTTCCTCTTTCTAAATTTATTTCACTGGATTATACTCCTTGAATAATATCTTCAAACCCTAATTTTTCTGATTACAGCTTATACTCTTACTACCTCTACCACTACGGGATGGGAATCAACAATTGTATCTCTGTGCTAATGTGGCATGACGACTCGAATTGATGTACATACATACGATGTTCTAAGTTGTTACTGACTGACCGACTGACTGAATTTCTTATGCTTCTTCATGTTTCTGTTTAATACTTTTTTGTACCTGGGTAAATAAAATGTCAGATTGTATGTTGATGATATTCAGTGCTCGTTCAGTTATTTTGACTAATAATTGATCATGGTTGGAAGTATTTACATGTGCTCGATAAAAAGCCATTTTATTCACAAAGTTCTTGTTTTTATAGTTTTACAGTATTTGATAGAAATAGTAATGAGTGCTTTATGAGAACTATTCTTGACTTACATGTTTATAGTGTAGATAGAATACGAGTGATTGCATGATAAAATCATGAGACAATTTTTATATTACAAATATATGGATGATATGTTCGTTTTGTGTAACAAGTACACTTACTTGGACTTATATTTTGAATTGTTTATTCATACTGACTTAGACATTTAATTTGTTTGTGAAATTTCATTTAAGAATCTCCTTTCATTTCTATATTATATATTTTTTACAGAGAATAATTGTTTATAAGAAGAGATGGATGGTAGCTTGTCGTGGAATTCGAGATGCGCATTTCATCCTATTTGTGACTCGTCAGCTGGATATGCCTGCATCCCGACGTTAATGTCCACTTCAAGACTCTAAGTGCCTACTGGATTTCACTCCTAGCTACCATCCATTTGTACTTATAGTGCTTGTGACTTAACTCAACATCGAGGCATTCCCATCAAGATACACATATGTCAATAAGAGACTGATCAATTTCAGTCTTAAACAGTAATGAAAAGATTCAAACAACCAATACAAAGAATCAATAATTGTTTGTTTATTGGCAATGATTGTAGAATAAATATTAATGGATTTCATAATAGATCTTAACATTCTATAATAAATATTCAAACATTTATTAACCTTATTACTTCATAGTTTATAAAAATAACTATAAGTGAACATCATCCGATTTAGATTTTCATCTTAATTAGTTCATTATCAACTTATATGTAAGCTACTATTCATTAATTTACTATTAAATAAAATTACAATGACATTTATCAAGTATTTAATGTGTATACTATGAATTAATTATTATTCATTATTCTGGAATCTAAATGGGAATATCTGAATAACCAACCACTACACACTATTTTAATATGAAACATATTTATGATAAGAATTCAAAGTGAACTATGAGACATTCTGAAGTGTGAATGAGTAAATATTTAAATTATCTATATTATTATTATTATTATAATTATCATCATAATCGAGGAACAGACTGGTTGATACAATCCGTAAAACCTATCGTTTACTAAGTAGAATTAAGTAGTACCTTCATTCTTGAAAGATGAAATTCTTAACATTTGAATTTCCCAAAATTACCATATCTATTTCAAATCTAAACAACTACTCAGTAGTAGTAGTAGTAGTAGTAGTAGTAGTAGTAGTAGTGATAGCACCAAGTACCAGACAGAAAATAAATAGGTCACTGGTGAACACATGAAAATGTGTGTAATCATTTGATTATATTATTTATTTTTTACTTTTTAACAATGAACAGGTTAACCTTTTTCATGAAACATTTTTGACAAATATCTATTTATCAATATATGCTCAATAGTGACTGGCTTCAAGAGGTATATTCTGGAGTTCCAGTCAGAAGCATTGATTGGTGGAGTTCAGTCACCCTGTTGTGAGATAATAATTCACTGATAACAATGGCGGATGTGTCGTTCAATTTCATGGATTAGTTGAAGTTAGACATTAACACCGTTGGATGCCGGCTCACTGATCTAGTGGCTAATCGCTTGCTCGCAAGACTGATATGTCCTGAGTTCGAATCTCGCGAGGCGGGATCATGCATGCGGATTGTTGAGGAGTCCCACAATAGGACGTAACGGCCATCCATTGCTTCCAGGTTTTCAATGGTGGTCTAGCTTTAAATGACTCATGATCTCAACCATTGAAATTATTATAATATCCACAAAACCCCCTTCTGAAATATTTCTTTATTTGTCTATTTAGTTCTGCTTGTTATGATAATTATTTTCTCTTTGTTGTTGTCTCATATCAATTCCTAATTCATAGGTTTACATGATTTTCACTATTACAATGTGTGTTAAACTAAAACACTTAGTTATTATCATAATATTGAGAATTTTTAAACGACAGTATATGTAGTTGTATGAAATAAAACTTCACTAGATCAATAATTTATTTTACATAATTGAACACAATATTTAATATACTTGTTGTGATTATGTGAGATTAGTATGTGGAGTAAACTAATAACAGTTTATAGTAATAACCATATCCGTGGTTCACTAAATAATTCGCGGTGAGTTTATAATTTATGAACGACCTTTGAGCGATGTTAAAGTCATCTTGAGAATATCCACCTACTAAATAGGACTAAATATGAGTTATAAACCACTGTTGACGGTTAGGGTTAGGAGTTAGAATTAGGGTTTTCATTACGAACCAACATCATCTAAGGTGCCAAAACGCTATTTAGGCAAATGGATTAATGAATTTCGCGCCAAAATCCAAGACCTGTTATCCTAAATCTGATTGGTTTGTTCATAGGTTACACTATCGCCTTATTCTCTCATGTAGACTTCAAAGGAAGTTAAATTTATCTGAACCGAATATTCGTTTTAATTTATTTAAGATTCGATAACCGTAATCAGTCATTTTATGACTCTCAATAACCAACACATCAGTTTTATAAAAAATACCGAAAAATCCATTTATTAATATTTTAAAAAGTCATACAATATTGAAAATAGTGGAACTTATCGTCATTCCTTGTAATGTGTTATTTATCTCATTGTGGAATTCAAGATTTTAACTAATACTGTATACTAAATGCAGATAAAGAATATGAAGTAGATATATTTTAAGAGATAATAATCAATAATATCAAAATATGTTAACAAATATTTGTTTAATAGTATGGGGTTGTGGAGATTGTTGAGTTTCTTTGAAATCATGAATTGATTAGTGTCAAACAAGCATTGTAAATGTGGAAGGACTGGAGGGCCGTTTCGTTTTACTTTTTGGACTAATGAACAGTACTCACTCACAACTACGTATGGAAGAATCGAACCCAGGAGCCTCGGCGTCACACAAATGCTTAATCTGTAAACCAATGAGTCGGGGTACAATGGTGTTAATGTCTAACTTGTGAGGCAGCTACCCACCGGAGATAATGGAAAATGGTCGCCCATTACCGTGGATTGATTATTGTTAGACACCAATACTGTTGGATACTGGATCAGTGGTCTAGTGGTTAGGTGTTCGCGCGCGAGACTGATAGGTCTTGGGTTCGTATTTCGCGAAGCGGGATCATGGATGCGGATTGTTGAGGTGTCCCATAATAGGACGAAACGACCATCCAGTGCTTCTAGGTTTTCCATGGTGATCTAGCTTCAATTGACTCATGATTTCAACCATTGAAATTATTAAAATCTCCACAAAAACCCCTTCTAATATTTATTAGGCATTACTTGTTTACTTAATCAGTCAACAATATAAACTATTTTAAAAGATTCACTTAGTTACCAACATTATTCGATTAAATAATAAGAATTTTTTTAAAAAAAAATACCGAACAGCTCATTTATCAATGCTCACATTATCTATTTTGTTGTAGGTTGTTTTTATTTGATTGATATTAAATCTGTCAAAATGAACTAACAAAGAAAAAAGAAACATATTTTCAATGTAATTATACTCAAAAATAGTAAATCTCAGTATGTATGTATGTATGTATGTATGTATGTAGATATGTATTTATGTGTGATCCATTTTGTTTAAACAAATACATATAAGGTAGTTTATTTTTATTTTATTCAATTGGCTACAAGTACTTCTACAATTACCACTACCACTACTACTACTACTACTACTACTACTACTACTACTACTACTACAACACAAAAACTGAATATTTGAGTTGATTCATCAATTATATTTTAAATTAAAGGCAACCAGAACTACCTTTCAGTTGCTATGTGTTTTTTTCAACAACAAAAGCAACGAAAAAAATTCAATGATATTTATCATTAACAAAACAAATGTCCGTTCAACTCATTTGCATACATTGATTTGTAATTCAATGTTAACATTAGAAATATGTAGATTGTATTATTAGTAAAAAATTTAAATATATTCAATTAATAATGGCATCATTTATATCTGTTTTAAGTTGAGTTTATTGTACAGTCAGTCAGTAACAACGTAGAACTTCGTACGTATGTACATCAGTTCGAGTTGCCACACTACACTACCACAGAGATACAGTTGTCCATTCAAATAACATAGTGGTAGAGGTAGTAAGAGTATAAGCAGTAATCAAAAACATTAAGGTTTGAAGATGTTGTTCAAG